GAAAGAAACGTGGTATAAGCATCCTTAGTGCCCAGTAAGGAGCCTCCAGAGACAGTTGAAGGGGCTGAAGGAGAAAGAGTTTTCAGGAAAAGGGAAATGGGTTCAGAGGGAACTGGTAGGAGGAGAGCCCTATCTTTCCTTGTTCTCCACATTCTTACTAGCAGATATCCCTTCTCTATATTCTCCATGTCCTGACGGTTACAGGATTCCAGTTCCCCTTGAATTTAAATCTGTTGAGTACCTGCCATCTATCAGACTCTGAACAAGGTCCTCTCACATGCAATCTCATGCAATTCCTTCGTTGAGCCTGAAGTGCACAGAGTAGAGTAAACCCCTCCTTCAGTCATTGACTATTAGTACCATTGCTTCCTGCCAAACACTGTATCAATCCATTTTATTTTCCCCTTTTATCCTGATCTCTATTCTCATTTCCCTTCCTCACTGGAGGCACTTGCTTTAGTGTAATTAACAAATGATCTTGTGTCCATGCTCCACATGTGTATTTATATACATTCATCCACCTAGGAAATAAATATACAGTGCTGACTATTTCAGGGACAGTTGTAGGTATGGGGAATATAGCCAGGAGCAAAACAATAAAAGAAAGTCCTGCTTTCATGGAGCTTACATTCTTTTGGAAAGAGACAAATCATAAACTAATAAATAAGTAAAACCTATAGTACCTTAAATGGTGATATGTGCAATGGGAAAAAAAGGGCAAGGGGATAAGTTGTGTTTTGAGTCGTTAGGAGCAGGTTGCATTTTTATACGGGGTGATTAAGGAAGGCCATGCTACACACGTGCCATTTCACTAAATGCAGCTAAGGGTTGTGGATACCTGGGCCAGAAGTGGTACAATTATAGGGGACAGCAAGTACAAAGGCCCTGAGGTAGGGCCTTGCCTGGTATGTTAGGAGGCCAGAATGGTTAGGAGGCCAGTGGCTAGAGAAAAATGAGTGGGAAGAGAGAGAAATGGAGGCTGAGAGGTAGCTGGGTCAGTGATAAATACTGTAGGACTTTGTAGGCTTTGGCTTCTACTCTGAATGACACGGGAAACCAGTGGAAGGTTTTGAGCAAGGAATGTCATGACATTTTTAACAGATATATGTGTATTCTTGACAAATATACAGTGGTTTATGGATGTTTTATAAATGTTCATAAATAGCATTGTGCCATATACCTCATCCTGCTTTTACTTTTCCTACTTAACATTGGTCTCTGTAAATCTACTTTTATAGATTTAGCTAAGTTGCTCTCTATAAATCTACTTTATTATTTGTGACTGCTATGTAGTATCTCATTATGCATTTATGACACGTTTTACTTATATATTCTTCTGGTAAGAGATGCTGGCATAACTCTAATTTCCTGCTACCACAAGAAGCAAGTGATGAATATGTTCATATGGGGGGTCCTTATGGATTCAAAAGAGAGATTCCTTGGGGTGTTTACTCGGAGAGGGATTGCAGGGTGGTAGGCTGTGTGACTTTTAAATCCACTAAGACTGTGCTTCAGGATGGTTGCACCATTTACACTCCCAGCAGCAGTGAGTGATAGTTTGTATATTGTTATGCAATACTCATGTTGTTCCAGTAAGGGAAGTCAAGTAAGGTTTTTTGTGGATGAGGAATCTGAGGCTTAGAGATACTTAGCAATTACTGTAGTTTACATAGTCAAATGGAAGAGCCAGGGCTCACATTCAGAATTTCTGATAAAATGTTCATTGCTCTTAGCATTATAGTACCCAGTGCTGCCTGTTCCAGAAATAAAATGAGGCATCTGTAGGCAAAGATAGTACTTCTTGATGCTTGGTCTAACTCAGTCAGCCTAGGACCCCCAAGTGCTTAGCACCAACATGTGTGAGGGTGTCTAATTAGAGTCCTTAGGGTTTTAAGGCAAATTATATGGAAGAAAAATGTTTTCATTGTCTTGTGACAGCTAGCTCACAGGCTTGAGTTGTAGTGAATGATTTTGAGGCTAGACATTTACAAAGACTAACTGATTTTCAAAGTTTGGGAACTTTAGATCAGATTTCAATATTAAGAATTAGGTAGATTATATTAAGTGCATATTGTTTGCTAGGCACTGAGCTAAGTACTTTACAGGCATCATTTCATTTACTCCTCAGAATTGACCTTTGAGGTATTGACTTTCACTCCCATTTGACTATTGTGAAAACTAAAGCCCTGGGAGGTGAACTACTTTGTCAGAGTCACCCGGTATGTGGTTGAGTTGTGATTCGAACCTGAACAATCTACCTGTAAAGCCTTATTCCTAACCACTAAACTGCGCTGCCTTCCTGTGAAGGAAGCTTTTAGAATCTCTTCCCTGTGAATCTGAGGAAAATTTCCTATCAGTTGGGTTTAGAGCAGTCATGGGAAGTACAGAGCTAGTGGACAAAATCTCCAGAGAGAGGATATGAAGTTTGAAAATGTTCTCAGGTGTCTTTATTTATGCCTCCCTCTGTCCCCCAAAGTGAGAACCTCTCCATAGTTTATCCTACCTAGATTACAGGGCCTGAGCGTGATGCCTTCAAAAAGGTAAGGGCTCTCTGAGTGTGGGCAGTTGGTTGCCTATAATTCAAGGCAGCCTGATATTTTTAAAACAAGCTTCCTCAAAGGCAAACAATTCTTTATCACTCTGTGTGGCTTACACCTACAATGAATGATCTGTAGTCAGTGTTTTATCACAGTTAATTTTCCTGTCACACTTTTTATTTTGCTTGGCTTCCACAGGGAAGATAATACCATTTATATCTTTACCTGAGCTTGGTTTATAAAGGTTGATTTGCTACAAAGTATGTATTCCAAACGCAAGTAGATATGAATTCTGGATCATACCTTCTTTTGGGTTTCTCTTCTCAGGTTGTAAATTTTTTCCACAAATATTTATTGAGTACCTAACTCACAGTCCGATGGAGGAGATAGGCAGCTGGCCTGGAAGTTTGATACTTTAGGTTAGGTGGTACCTGCAGTAAGCATGGGTGAGAGCACACAGGAAGGGCAGCAAAAAGGTCAGGGAAAGTTTCCTGGGGACTTGACATCTGAGCTGGGAACTGAAAGAGAAGTGAAGGCTAGCTACATAAAGAGACAAGAGAGCATTAGAGGCTGGGGACAGGGTGAGTGTAGGATTTTGTAGCTGGAGCAGGAACAGGGAGGGGATGAGGCTGGAGGAATCAGCCCGGGTCAGATGGTGAAGGAAGGATTATGAAGGATGAGCAGTGGGAAGCACTGAAGGGTTTGAAGCCTGGGTGTGGGTGGGGGACATGTCAATCGCATTCATGGTGTAGAAAGATTCCATGAGTTAGGAACTGATCCTCCTAATCTATCTTGTGTACTGGTTGGTAAATCATAACATTGGAACTGGTGGGTGGCAAATAAGGAATCTAGATGGATTTGTAGGCAGAAGGTCTGATCCATAAACCAAGGGTAACTTTTGATAACATGTAGAGAAGACTTTTCAATTTTGACTTGATCTTTCTGTCTTAAGACACCTGTGACATTTCCTAAAATCCTCCCAAAACCAAAGCCTGAGCAGGGAGAGGAGTGGAGGCTCCATGACTTTGTTTTCTCAGTTCTCCACTACTCATATCTCGTGCATTGCTGTGAGTTGGTCATTCAAAGACTTGCTTGAGGACGAGGCCATCTGAATAGTATCAGGGGAGGAGGAGGAAGAAGAAACCACATGCAAGATTTGTTCATTAAGAAGATATATCTGGTATATTCAGACAGTGTTTTGAGCATGTTAAAAATAGCTCCTTGTGAGAAATTAATAGTTGAGTGTTTCAATATAAGCTCACAGAGCAGAGCAGATTCTCCAGGCTGCTAGCAGCTGACATCACAGATGGTGCAGGGCATTTATAGAGTACAGCGTGGTCAGTGAGGAAACTGTCTGCAGAAGTGAACTCACCTTTTCTCCTAGAACCCAGAGAGAGAGAGGACACAGAAGAAATTGTTTTGGTTGTGAGCTGTGAAGCTAGGTGACTTATTTCTTTTCTCCTTACCCATCACACTCTCATTACTGTGGTGAATTTTTGTCTGGTTGCTTTGGGTGAGGTTCACTGAATGTCCTAATTCACAAAATGGCCTTGATGGCTCCTCTCCCTTCTTAATAATGAACACTTCTTTGGCTGCTGCACCCATTTCACTAGTGTTTCCTCACCAGAAAGCCTGCTCCTCCAATTCTTGCAGGGAGTTATGAAGGCCCTACCCCTTCCTCCCTCTTCCTCTCTTTTCACAGCTCCCCTGTGGGCCTAGGTGGGTAAAATGAAGTGTTGGACTGAACATTCTTTGCCATCATATAGCTAAGTGGATGGTGCAGAATGAGGAGAAAGGGGGCCAAAGTGACATCTAAGCTTGGCTGATTTGGGGGCTACTGGTTTTAAGACTGGGGAGCTGATATTTATATTTTAAAATCAAATTATATTTAAAAAATGATTGTGTAATTGCAATGACACATTCCATTCTGTGAATTAATGTGTCATAACTTGCAGCTAAGTACTGCACATACATTGTGCTCCTGAATCATTTCACAATAAATTTGAGCCCTTGTGTCTTATAGCTTAATTAGTACATGAAGCTACATGATTTTGATGAACCCACATGGGATTATGTCATGTGGTGTGTAAAAAAGCAGAAGGTTGGGAGATATTTAGCAATTTTTCTGAGTGGAAAGCTAGATTGAATTTTCTATGTCTTTTGGTGTCAGTTTCTGTGATATTTGGATTGCAACAGGTGACATGCAACTTCTGAGCTCTGGTTTGTGGGTTGAATAATGAGTTAAGTAAATATTAATTGTTTACCATATCTTAGGCATTATGGAGGGATAGTGCAAAGCAGAAGAAATACGAGGCAGCAGATTTGAAGCCTGAGCAAAGGAACTTGACAGTCCCAATACATCAGCTTAACTCACTCAGTCTCACCAAACCTGATCTGAGGCACTTGACTCCCTGGGCTTGATGCAGCTCTCTGATTTCAGAATCCCCTTCAATTCCAGCTAGAATGCTGTGTCAGGCACTTCAAAGATTTGCTCAAAAGTTGGTATGCAGACATAAGCTGGAGCCACTGGTACCTGAGACTGCCCCTGCCAGAAGTCTGAACACTCTGGATTTTGTGGACCTGAGTATGTGGCTACACAGTGGGTGTAGGTGTGTATGTCCTGGCTGGTGAGGTGGTTAGAAATAAGGCAGGACCATCCATTGTGATCTGCTTTCTGCTGGCCGGCCTAACTTCAGTGTTGGCTGGTCTGTGCTATGCAGAGTTGAGTGCCCGGGTTCCATGTTACAGCTTTTCATATCTCTATAACTTTGTCACTGTGAGTGAACTCTGGGCTTTCATCACTGACTGGAACCTCATCCTTGTCAATGTTGTTAGTACAGCCATTGTGACCTGGACCTGGACCTTAGCTTTTGACAACCCTTTTGGGAACAACATCTTTCAGACCCTACGTGAGAGGATCTCACCTCATGTTCCCTATTGTTTTGTGCAAATGCCAGGCTTCTTTGTTGTGGGCCTTGTGTTGTTGCTCATGTAATTGCTGACTAAGAATATTACATTGCTTTTCCTGGTTACCAACATGGTCCCATTAGTGGTCACATTGGTGACACTTTTTGTTCTCAGTTTTGTCATCATCACTGGCTTCATTAAGGGGGACTTGCACAACTGGAAGCTCACAGAAGAGGACTACATAAAGGCTGGACTCAATGACAGCTCTATCTTGGGCCCTCAGGGTTCCATCTGTAGGAGCATTGTGATTTCACTGTTCATCTTGTTTTTGTTGTACTTTGGTGTCTCTGCGTCACTTACACTTAGGATGCCTTACTACCAGCTTCAACCTGGGAGCACCTTGCCTGAGGCATCTCTCCATATTGGCCGGGCCCCTGCCTACTATGTTGTGGCTTTTGGATTTTTCTGTAATGTTTCAGCCAACATCTTTGACTTGAAGTTCCCTATATATCAGTTGACATACATGATGGCAAAGGGTGGCCTTCTGTTCCCTGTCCTTACCAGAATCCATACCAACACATCCATCTGCATCATGGCCATGTTGATATTAGTCATTATTACAGCAATCATGATATTCTTCTTTGGACTCACTGATCTCTTGGACCTCATATCAATTGGGGCCCTGCTAATTTATTCTCTGCTGGCTTTTTGTGTTCTCATCCTCAGGTATCAGCCTGAGGTGAAGAAAGGGGGAAATGAAGCAGAGGTGCAGGAGGAGAATGGACCTGCAACAGAGAGGCTGACTCTACAGGGACTACTTTTTCCAGGCAGCTCCTCACCCACTCCACTCTCTGGCCAGGTTGTCTACGTTTGCTCCTCACTGCTTGTTCTGCTGCTCACTCTTCTTTGCCTGGTGCTGGCCCAGTGGCCAGTTCTGCTTTCTGGAGACCCAGTGTGGATTTCAGTGGTTGTGGTGCTCCTGGTGCTCATCACTGGGCTCACTGGGGTCATCTGGAGACAGCCTCAGAGCTTCAGTTCCCTTCACCTTAGGGTCCCTGCTCTGCCTCTCCTCCCACTACTGAGTGTCTTTGTGAATGTTTGCCTTATGATGCAGATGATAGGTGGCACCTAGGCCCAATTTGGTGTCTGGATGCTGATTGGATTTGCTATCTACTTCAGCTATGGGATCCAACACAGCCGGGTCACTAACACCACTTAAGTTAGGACCAAAACTGTAGACCTTGAACTCAGCAGTGCATGTACACATCATCACATCTGAATGCAGTCTGGTCCCCCTGCACAATATTGGAGAGTACTCTTGAGTACATTGAAAGCTAGGCCTCCTGTGGGATGTTTTTTGGGAGAACACTAATAGAGCTCTGTATGTACTGTGGAGGAGTGAATGATGTGTCTTCTCTCTCTCTCTCTCTCTCTTCTTTTACTTGTCTACTTTTTAATTATGTAGCTGCTTACTGGCTTTGAAACAATTATAATTACAATAAACTAGACAAAGTGTTTTTGTTTTCTTTGGGTAAATACTCAGTAGTGGAATTACTGGATTCTATGGTAGTTCTATTTTTAATTTTTTGAGAAACTTGCCTACTGTTTTCCATAGTGGCTGCACAAATTTCCATTCCCATTGACAGTGCATAGGGCTTATTTCTCTACATCCTTGCCTACACTTTTTAATTTTTATCTTTTTGACTTTAGCCATTCTGACAGGTGTAAAGTGGTATCTCTTTGCAGTTTTATTTTGTGTTTCCCTGATCATTATGAATGCTGAACATTTTTTATGTGTTCATTGGTCCTCCACTCATTTTTAAATTGGATTTCTTTTAGCATTGAGTTGTATAAGTTCTTATATATTTGCATATTAATCCCTTATTGGATGCATCATTTACAAATAACTTCTCACTCAGTAGATTGCCTTTTTGTTTTGTTGATGGTTTCCTTTGCTGTGTAAAAGCTTTAGTTACACTAATTCAAAAATATATATGTACCCTTATATTTATTGCAGCATAATATACAATAGCCAGGATATGGGAGCAATTAAATATCCATTAATAAATGAATGGATAAAAAAGATAAGGTATATACACACAGTAGAATATTAATCAGCCCTTGAAAAAAATGAAACCTTGCCATTTATAACAATATGGATAGACATAGAGAGTATAGTGCTATTTGAAATAAATCAGAGAGAGGCAAATACCATATAATTTCACTCATATTAGAAATTTAAGAAATAAATGAACAAGGAAAAATAGGACAAACAAAAAAAACAGACTCTTAAATACAAGAAACAAACTGGTGTTTGTGAAAAGGGAAGTGTGTGGGAGCAGGGTGAAATAGATACAGGGAATTAAGAATACACTTATCTTGGGGCACCTGGGTGGCTCAGTTGGTTAAGCATACAACTTTAGCTCAAGTCATGATCTCATGGTTCATGATTTTGAGCCCCTCATTGGACTCTGTGCTGACAGCACAGAGACTGGAGCCTGCTTCAGATTCTGTGTGTCTCTCTCTCTCTCTCTCTGAGCCCCCCCCCCCCCCCCGACTAGCGCTCTCTCTCCCTCTGAAAAGTAAATAAACATTATAAAAAATTTAAGAGTACACTTACCTTGATGAGCAATGAGAAATGTGTGGAATTGTTGAATCACATTGTACACCTGAGAGTAATATAACAACACTGTATGTTAATTATGCTGCAATAAAAAGAATAAAGGAAACTAGCAAAAACAACAACGATAAAAAGATGAAATATGGCCCCTGTCCTTATGGAGCACATATTCTAATACAAGGGGTAAACCATAGCTGTAACACAAAGTGGAAAGTATTGTCATAAGTAATATACAAATAAAGTATCTTGGGACTTAAGAATGGAGGTTGAGCATCTGTGGCTGTCTGGTTTTATTATAGCTCAGGGATAGGACCTGTGGGCAGAAAGAGATGCCTTGGGATTGTGAGAAGTGACTAATTTTATACTTTTAAGTTTGTTGAGGGGGTGGGGGTAGAGATGAAGTTAGTTTCTAAGAATTTTGGAAGCAAGGCTTTCAGGACCTTGAGGGGCTAGCTGCTGTTAAGATGAGGTTACTTTTAGTCTTTAATAAAACATAAACATTAAGACACTAAGGCAGTCATGAGTTCCTTGAGAAATGCCATGCTCTGCATGTTTCAGACATCTACCGGTGGGCGGCAAGCTATAAGGTGATTTAATTTAAGCTACATTTCTCTTGACTTTGTTTGCCTCATTTTCCCCCATGAACAACTTTGACCCATAAGTTGTTAAGGGTGTTGAAGGCAGAAGGTCTCATCTTCTGTAGTTTTTTCCTGCCGAGTAGGGGTGTAGAGATGTCCCTACCTATGTGTCAATATTGGTCAGAGGAGACATAATAGGAGTCAAGAAAGGCTAAGGCAGCTGTATCTAGAGCTGATAACATATGGGAATCTCCTTAGCAGAAAAGATCATCTGTCCCCTTGAAGCTATGGCAGTGAGGGAGTTCCAGCACCAGGCAGAAAGATGTAGGGAAAAAAAAACCAACAGCAAAACATAACTAAAGTAAGAAGAAAAAAAGAAGCCCAGTAAAAGACCTTTAATAGTTAATTAAAATCCTCTAGGTTTTAATCAATTACTAAAGGAGAAGGAGAGACTACTTAAAGCACAATTTGAGTATTTCTATTTTTTAGCAATCCTATTATATTTTTGTGATAATCTGGACTATATACACAGAGTTCCATTTTAATGATGGTGCATATTTCACCCTGTGTAGCTGTTAAAACATAATACCATTTTATTTTGTAGAACTCTTTTATGCATTTGAGTTATTTTAGTGTTTAATAACAATGTTATTTTGAGAGTCATTTAAGTCCTTAATTGTGTAGCAGGTGGTATTTACCATCATAGAGACTGTTTTGTTTAGTAAAATATCAGGTAATTAATAAGAGACACTTTTATGAAAAGTAAAGAAAATATAGGTTAATACAGCAAATTATAAACGTAGCGTCTGAGTCTTGAGTACAGCCAATGAGAAGATTTTAGATGTCAGGCTCGAAGCATCCTAGATGGAGTCAGAACAGGCAGTGGGAATCAGATGGGGTTTTTTTGGTTTGTCATTCAAATGTCTTTGGTGATTGCTTTGAATGTCCCATAGAGCAACAGGTACAAAGAAGGTCTGTACATGAGTTTTGTGGGAATGTCTCTTAAGTATACCTTAAGTTGTCTAGGCAAACCAGAAACATTTAAAGATAATCAGAACTAGAATTTATTTAACATCCACAAAGATGTGTTATTGAAACAAATCTTCTCTCCAAAATCACCCTTATTTTCAGAGATAGCCAAGCCAAGACTAATGTGTTTAAAAAATAAGTTCAATTTTAACAAACTAGGACTAATTATTTACATAAGCTCAGCAAGAACAGTGATTGATATATAGATTTTTTAAAATTTGCTTTGATGGAACTTTTTTTTTAAATTTTTTTTTCAACGTTTATTTATTTTTGGGACAGAGAGAGACAGAGCATGAACGGGGGAGGGGCAGAGAGAGAGGGAGACACAGAATCAGAAACAGGCTCCAAGCTCTGAGCCATCAGCCCAGAGCCTGACGCGGGGCTTGAACTCACGGACCGCGAGATCGTGACCTGGCTGAAGTCGGACGCTTAACCAACTGCGCCACCCAGGCGCCCCTTGATGGAACTTTTTATAAGGAATTTCGATTGAACTTTCAGTAACCTCTCTAGGCCAGAAGCCAAGCCAAATATTTGCCATCAGACATGTCTGCAACACACACACACACACACACACACACACACACACACACACCCCAATTCCTCTTTTCAAGGTCCCCATAATGTCCTGGGATTCTTGCACCTGCCAGGAAGTGGCATTATTTACTCACCTGGTAAGGCTCCTGGGACCTCTGTATGTGATACTTCTTTAAAATTATCTTCTGGGACACTTCGTTGACAAATAGCAATTCTCTCCATCGAGAACTGTATCTAGAAGTGTATCTAGATCAGTACCCAGCATCTAGAATGGTATCCAGGCACTTCTAATTTTGCATTTGTGTGGCTCTGCCTAAGTTCTGGTGACTGTCCTGTCTGTTCCATCGGAATAAATTCTTGTTCAGGGCAAGGAGTAGTTTCTCCCCTTCCTCTAGACCCAACAGTAAGAACAGTGTTAGTCATTCAAAGAGCAACAGTGAAAATACAGCTCTGAGGGAGGAGAGTACCTGAAATGTCCTCTCCAGGTCCTACTTCATCTATTCCCATGGGATGTGTGGAGGGGCTGGAAGTAGTGAAATTGATGGAAGGCCCAACCTGCTTTACCTGACTCCAGGGGATCCCTGAATAGAAGAAGGGCTTCAGCATGGGCATAACATATATCTATTCAATGTGGTCAAAGTTTTATGCTTTGGTATAGGAGGGCCATTGCTTTTCTATTGTATTTATGTATGTGGCTGGCTCTGAGAGGGAGGGACAGGAAGCTACTTTCTTATTTCTCATCTTCCCAACAGGGAGTAGGTGACTCCAGGGGAAGGACTCCAAGGGAACGATTACCCATACACTTACCAAATTCTTTAGAATCTTTTTGGGGAGACTGGTGCAAAAACCTTGTGAGAGCATCTAGGATTCATTGGGCAGAGAGCACTGATACTCCAACTGGGGAGAGAAATGAACCAGAATAGGAGGAATTAGTAACTGGACAGGGATGGAGGCATCATTACTTTGGAAGGGAAGGTATGAGTAGAAACTGAGGTATTGATCAAGAGACACTTCCTGGAGGAGGATGCCTATGGAGCAATAAAAGAGGAATAGGTGAGTTGAAAAAGAAATGGGACAGTAATTCTAGGCTACACAAACCTTTAAAAGTCATGAAAGATTGAGACTCTTGTGAGGGATAAGTGTTTTCATATTTGAAGGAAATTTATGAGCCAGGTTTGTATTGTGTATTGTTCCATGCAGCAAGAATCTTGAATCAGGAAGGGACGAGATATGATTGTCATCTGGAGGATAGACAGAGGATGTGAACAGATAGACTTTTCCTGGGAGACAGCTGTAGCACCTGCTACAGTCATGCAAATCCTTGCTCTGCACAGTATGGCACCACGGACCAGCACCATGCGTGTCATTTTGGTTTGGAATGTCTAAGATAGGTTCTTGTACAGAAACAGAGAAATGTACAAAATAAACTCAAAATTTTTATTATCCCAAATTCTCCTGTCAACTCCTGAAATGAAAGCCTGGGGTGGATGTTGGTGTGTGTAAGGCAGTGAGACATGGGATGATGAGTGACAGAAGTAAAGAAAAAAAATCTTATTAGAGCATTGAAATCTGCTAAAAATTTTATTTAAAAAGTTTTATGGCTATTTTTTTTTTTTTTTGAGAGACAGAGACAGAGTGCGAGCAGGGTTGGGGCAGAGAGAGAGAGAGAGAGAGACAAAATCCGAAGCAGGTTC